ATAATTTTCAGACTCATGTGAAATGTGTAGTGCAGTGCAATTGTACACATGACTGGTCAGAAGTCAGCACAATGTCTCCATGGAATTATTCCCTACAAAAATAAGTATATATTTGCAGTATAAAAGCATATAGATATACATATACATATATGCTTTTATACTGCAGTATATGTGTGGTATAAAAGTATTCTGTGCAATACACACACACCCCTATCTATCAGAATTCTGTGATCTGCAGGACACTAAAAGATTGCTTCATCCTCAGCATCCAAATTCACCATCCCTTTTCTTCTTTGGGGGATCTGCTTGCTACCAAAGCTACACTGGATATTAATTTAGCAATGCATTTCTACATTCCTAGAAAAACAACCTGCTCCCTCCCCACTAATACATAGGCAATAGAATACCCACAGTCTTGCCAATCCCACCAAACAGTGTAGGACACCTACAACCCACATTTCTCCCAAAAAGAAATTTATTATAGATGTCAATCCATTTTAGATCTGTCCCCCAAGGGGTACACATAAGAATGCTTTGTTATCCCTACATGTGGTCTCTAGCTAAGTGCACCCTGAAGCCATCCTTCTTTCAGGACCACTAACAAAGAGAGAAGGAATCCCTACTAATTATGCTTCAGTTTAGCGTCATAAAGGATGACTTCTGTATCCAGCCAAGGTCCATCTAAGCTATGATGCTTTGTGGGAATCCCCAGCTCTGTACTTCTACAAAAACTCATCAGTAGGATATTGATGTCCCTGCTCTTCTCTCTTCTTCCCTCTTTCACAGACTTCTCCAAGGAGAGAATTTCCTCCCTTTAAAATGATTCATCCTATACCTCCCTCTCTGGAAGTTACTCCACTGAAGTCAAAGACCTCTCAGTATTGATGGGTGTCTTGTAAATCATTGTAGGTCATCATAGACATAAATCAAACTTCTGACTTAATTCTGAAAAGGGCAGGCTATACACAAACAGCTGCTATTAGCCAGAGGAAAAAACAGCTATAACAATAAAGATTTGTATACTCACTAATTCCAGCAAATAATTTTCAGAGTGTATCAGTCATCTAGTACAGTGTAATTCTATACAAGGCTGGTCAGAAGTAAGCCAACTGAATTCAAGAAAAATTGGCCTAGGTAGTGTGGATATGTTTGAAGTCTGAAAGGTACTACCAAGCCAAGGCCAAAATATACATTGTGTGTGTAAAATACACCCAAAGAGATAATTCAGTGACCTACAGGGTACTGGAGTGGCTGCTTTTGACCACTGAAAAGGTTGCTAACTTATTTTCATTCAGATTTGTAATCCCTTTTCATCCTTAGAAGATCGCTGGCTTGCTTTCTTCATTTTAGATTAGCAATCCATTTCAGTGGCATTAGAGTGAGACCCCCCTTCCACTAAGACATTGATTGATTGATTGATTGATTGCCATCAAGTTATTTTCAACTCCTAGCGATCACATAGCTACATTTTCTCCATGACATTGATAGCCACGATTCCATTAATAATATTGGTCACCTACAATCTACACTCCATCAAAATTCTTTTTGTTGTTGTTAATCGTATATGAGAAAGTTATTTTAGGTCTTCTCCCCCCAGATCAGCACAGCACAATGCTTTGATACTGCCAGAACATGGTTCCTTCTTAAGTAGACTTTTAAGCCATCTCTCTCTTTTTTTTTTAATATAAATTTTATTAAAAGTTTAAAAGAAAACATAAAAACTAACAAACTAATACAGAAAAAAGGAAAAAAGGAAAGAAAAAAGACAGAAAGGCAGAAAGGCAAGATAAAAAGGCATAGAAAAAAGAAGCTTCTAATTTTCTTTGCAGCAAATACAAGTATGATTACAAAGTTATCTCTTACTATCCATAAGCCATCTCTCTTTCATGGCTACTTACTGTCTGTTTCTTTGGACCAAGACATTCTTCTTGTTCCCAAATTTGGTGTTGTGAGCTAGCACTGAACTGCATAAGGATATCTTCAGAGCTGTGGTCCCTGAGTGGTGAACAAAAGTGCAAAAGGAATGAATAAGTGGAGGGAGGAGTGATTAGGAACTTCAAATGTCTATCTGATAAGAGTATCTTGCTCTTAGTATTCTAGTGTAAAGGCAAAGAACTAATTTGCTGTAACAATTTCAAATGCAGCATTCAGAAATAGTTCCTTTAGAACTATGGAACTTTACTCTCAGAGGTAATTTTTTTTTCCTCTTTCCCTTATTCCCATTTCATGGATAAAGTCACCTGACCAAAAGAGGCTACAGACACATCTATATCAGCATTGGATTTGCATTAATGTAGAGTCAAAACGCCTTCAAAAGCTCTCAAGCTGGACACTGCATCCTTCCTTTGCTCACTGCTCACTGATCTCTCCCAAACTTATGGTTCTTCTACAGCCAAGAGACAGATCCACAATGTTTATTCCAGTTGCTTAATGGCTTCTCCAAGCTGAAATGAAGGTAAATCTAAAAGTGGTTGTCTTTTTCTCTTTCCAGAAATGGAAAATCAAGCACACAGACTGACAAGGGAGTGACTCTTCCGTTTCCTTCCCCCCAGGGCACCAAGCAGTACAAATGAATCGTTTCAGTGACCCATTATTATGCCTTTGGGAAAATGGGATTATGAGCCTTTTCTTAGGTCCCCAGTCAGGAGAGATAATTGAAGAAGTCAAAGGGCATATTGTTAAAGTTGACTAGGATACCTGGATATCTTTTGTAAATGGTAATTCTTACGGTCTATGATCTGAAGAAAAACTGGATGATGGTGATTGATGATGATGATGATGATGATGATGATGATGATGATGATGATTCAAAACACTGGACTCCTTTTGTCTTTTGCTGAAGATTGACATAGGGTTACTATAATGAGATGATCACATACTCAGAACATTGCTGTTCTCTTGAATCCCAATGGTATTTTCATTAGAGCCCCATCACAGTCAATTTCTTGGCTTCTCTTTAAGCTGATTTACCTTCTTGATGTTACTGCAGTCTCTCCTCCTTCAGTTCCAGCCATCATAGTTAATATTCTGCAATGAGCCACAAGTTTTGTTCCCCTTGTTTATGGGAACCATTAAACCCCTTTCCAACACAATCCATATCAACAGTAACCAAAGTAGAAGATCCCTTTGACAAATCATTTCTAGCCAACATACTTGTGTGATTTCCTGTTTGTTTGTTTATGTCATTCCTTTGTCAAAGAGGATGGACATGTTTGAAAGGAACTGACCCCTCCCAGCTTTCTAAGTAATTAGGCCAATTTTATTTTTCTCAATTCAATCTTGCATTGTCAAGCAGTTGGGCCAGCAATGTGGAAGGTAAATGATCTGTGCTCCTAAAGTCCATTTCAGCATCATCCCACTGCATGGCTTTGAATGAGATACCCATTGGGATGAGTTTTTGGAAGTCCTTCTCCATCAACCTTCTGCTCCAACTAGTTTTACACTTGTCCTGCATGCTTGGCAAGTGGCCAATACAAGTGCCATTGCAGCCCAGCAAGACGGAGTGGACAACCCCCTTGCATATGCAACACTTTTTTGTTAATATAAATCACTTCTTTATATCCAGGTGAGAGATGCTTAAAGGTGGGCTGTTTTGACAACCTACCACTACAGTGAGCAATATCTGGATCCAAGAGATGTCTTTAAGAGATATGTTACCTTCTGGCATTCTAGAAAATAATTTCTTTTGCTGTCACATTTAAGAGAAAGAGACGTAGGGAAGACTGAGTCCCTGAGGGTTTCTCAATGGTTCTGATCCCCTGTCAGTAAAGAGGCCTCCACCTTCTAATCCTGCTTTGGCTCTCCAGAGGTGCCCATTGCAAAGTGCTATGACATTAAAAGAATGAAACAAGCGTCATGGCATTACAAGGCCAACCCTGCCCCTTGGGTGCTTATGTGTTATGCACATGTTGTCCTTTGCCTCCCTTTCCTCTCCCTTATCCTTTCTAGATCCTCATGGACCTCTTTTCAGACTCTTCAGCGTCACATGCAGAGATTTGCAGATGGCGTTTCTCGTGTCATGTGTAGGAAAAAACATGAATATCCCTTAATATTAATGTAACAAATACAGGTTAAAGAGACATGAATTGGGTGAAAAATTAGCATTTGAATTGTGAGGTAGAATGGACATTCTGCTTTCTTGGAGACATTTCAACATGTCCCCCATTGTAGTACTGCAAAGATGCATTGTATCCAAGAATCAGTTGTGGTAATGTTGAAGTATCCATTTGCATTGCAGCAATACATATGTCCCATAGCTATACCTACCATCACAAGCTTCTTGGGAAAATCGCAAATATAACCTGGGAACTGACTCAGCAGAAACACAGACAAAGCTGAGGTGTAAAGCAGATTAGTTTTATTTTAAAAAATCATTACAGAAAGAAAGGGTTTTTCTAGTCGAATATTATGAAGAACTTTCTAACAGTCAAAGCAGTTTGGTAGGGAAAGCATTTCCCAAAAAAGATGATGAACTCTCCTTCACTGGATGTGTTCAGGTAGGGGCAGGACTGCCATTTATCAGTTGGGCTTTAATTAGAATTCCTGCATAGAGCTGAACTGAAGTTGAACTTGGCCTATGTGGGTCCTCTCAACAACATGAATCATGTGGATTATTTCATATGCCAGACCTAGCCAACTCATTCTTTTTTCCAGTTAAGAAATAAAGAGATTCAGTAGAAGAGAATGCTCAATAATAGAAGGAACCTTTTAATCTGTCTGGAATGGAATGATGAAAATAGTTGTATGAATAACATTTTCCGTGTTATAAGTGTATTTTCTATATTTGCAGTTTTCATGCTACAATGGATGTTGTGGTGGTTGAGGATGTGCTACCCATTAGGCCACTTTGTACAAAGACTGTCTCCATATGTTGTCTGCCAGGCCATGAGTTCAGCACTGACTTGAAGATCAGGTAGCACTGTCACCTATAGGAACAGGAACCAGAGAGGAAAATAAAAGGCAAACAGAATTTGTTCTACATCCCACTGGACCAAAACAACTCATGGTTGCTCCACTTTCCGAGAAAAATGTAAGAAAAGACACCTCTTCTTTAACCTCCCCATTGCATTACTCATGTCTCGGTTCCTCAGGGTATATATGATTGGGTTGAGGGAAGGTACGATTAGTGTGTAGAACACAGAAGCCACCTTGTCCATGTGAGACCTGGAGAAAGGCACTAAATAAACAAAGATGCAGGGCACAAAGCTGATGAAAACCACAATTAGGTGGGAGCTGCAGGTGGCCAGGGCTTTGCCTCCACTCTCTCTGAAGTGGCCTTGAAGGCTGCCAACAATGATACCATAGGAAACAAGCAAGGCAAGAAAGCATACAAGGGAAAGTAGGCCACTATTGGCCACAACAAGCAGCTCAGTGATATAAGTGTCTACACAAGCCAGCTTAATCACCTGTGGGAGGTCACAGTGAAAATTGTCCAGTGTGTTTGGACCACAGAATGGGAGCCGGAGAAGCAAAACCATCTGGGTGGTGGTGTGAATGAGGCCTCCAGCCCAACAGGAGGTAAGAAGTTTGATGCAACATGGACGGTTCATACTGGCCATGTATGTCAAAGGGTGGCAGATGGCCATGTAACGATCATAAGCCATGAGGGTTACAAGGAGCATCTCAGAGCCCCCAATGAAGTGGATAAAGAAGATTTGGATCATACAGCCCATAAAGCTGATGGTCCTGCTACAGGTCACTAAATCTGTTAAAAGCTTGGGTGTAGCCAGTGAGCTCAAAAAGATATCAAACATAGACAAGTTGGCCAAGAAGAAGTACATGGGTGACTGATAGAGGTGGGGTTCTCCATGTACTGTAACTACAATGAAAAGGTTGCCCATTAGGCATGTTGTATAAGCAGCCAAGGCCAATACAAAGAGAAGAAGCTGGATTGGCCGAGAATTGGAATGACCCAGGAAGACAAACTCTGTGACAGTAGAATCATTGACGGGAATGATCAGACCTGGAAGAAAAGAAAATGACATTTTTATGAATTTTGAAAGTCCATACATTAATTTGTCAACAGATACTAGAAATGAAATACTTCTTTACAAGTTCCATTCTTGAAATATGAAATTTACAAACAAAATATTTCATTTTAGCTCTTGCAGACATTAAATAGTTGCCGTACCCATGGTAATTGTCAGATCAGAAATTCAGTGGAATGATGTAAATCATGCATCAGCCATCTGCAAATCTGTGACCACACAGTCTGTAAGACAACGGCCAATCATCAGTATCACTCCCTTTTTCTCTCATGATCACTGGCTGTAGAGCTGTGTTAAGTTCCAGCTATCATGATACCATCATCATGATGTTCCACCACTGCCACTGTCCCTGTGCCACCCCTGACCATAATTTCATCATCTATCTGACCATTGCAGATGGGGATAAAGTGGGGAAGTCCCTTATACAACTCTCCTGCCTACTGATAAGGTTTACCTGTGTGAATGTTGTTGTTGTTGTTTAGTCGTTAAGTCGTGTCCGACTCTTCGTGACCCCATGAACCATATTGCGCCAGGCCTTCCTGTCCTTCACTGCCTCCCT